TGACTAGAGGCCTCCTAGATGGGGTCGGAGTAGATGGGGTCGGAGGATCGCGCCGCATCGTTGATACATCGGCGATGCATCGTCGATGCGTCGGCGATGCACCGGCGATGCATCGTCGACGTTGCCGACGCATCGGCGACGTCGACGCGACGCAAATCGGGCTGCACATCGAGCCGCATCGGCGATGCATCGGCGATGCGGCGCGATCCTCCGACCCCATCTGCTCCGACCCCATCTAGGAGGCCTAGATTGACGCCCCTCCAGACAACGCGCGGCGTTCACCATGGCCTTCCGGTATCGCTCCAAGTGACATGCGGCAACCGCTTGTTGTCGCGGCTCCGAACGCCTGCGCTCCTCGCGCATTTCAGCGAGATCTCTATCCCTTGATCTCCGTAATATCAGACCTCTTCCTTTCCTCAGCTTCGCGCCATTCGTTCACGCGTAACCCAGCGTAGTTGCGCGAGCTAGGAGCAGCACGCGTCGGGCATAATAATCTAAGGTTACAGATGCCGCAGATGTGAGAGCACCCGAAACAGACAGGCTTCTTGCACTGGCCCAATAAACCAGGGCACCGCGATCCTGGTGCTACAGCGCACTGTGGCCCATAATTGGCACACTGGCGGCGATGCGCATGCTGACGGTGCTCGACCTGGACGAAGTTGGACAAATCGGATATCTCAGATCGCGGTCTTGGGGCCCCGGGCCCCCCCCTCTCGGCGCTGCTCTTGCGTGGAGAGCGGGTGCGTAAGTCAGGCGCCCCAGACATTGACGTCGGCACTCTCTGACTCGCATGAGGAAGGCGCACTGGACCAGATCTACTTCGCTCCCAGAGTGGGGAGGTCGTTAAAACACTAACAGGCCCACGTCCCTGCTTGCTCGTCGTCCTTCTGGGCGCGCCCGCGAGCTCCTCCTCTACGATCTCCTCCAAATTCCTCTCCAAAGAATCATCAAATGGACTCGCGGCATCCTCGCCGCACGGGAGCGGCACCTGCGCAGGGGGTTGGAAAACGCTCACTAGAACAGGAGACGCACGGTCATAGACCTCACTTCCCCCATTATGTGGCCAATGGTCACCATTAAGGCCAATGGGCCTGGGAGTTGACCTGCGAGAGGAGAAATTTTCCTCCGACAAACTGGACTCCACGTCGTGGTCGCCGTCCGAGAGTTGGGGGGACATCAGGTTGGTCATCGAGTGTTACGAAGTCCTGTTCATATTCTCCGTTTCGGTCGGGTCGCGTAGTGCCTTTGATATTCGGAGCAGTAGGACGAGGTTCGTCATCGAATGAGATGATTCCAGCAGATCTTGGAGGGAAGGCGCCGGCTCGATTCCCCGACATAATCGGCATAATCATGATCAGGAACACCCACACTCATTCCATGGCGCGGTTCTGCTTTAGGGCGTGAATCATCTTGATTGGAACATGGTTTTTTCATCTGACAAAACCACTTTCGTCGAAGGCAAAACGTTCGGTTGGTAACCGCTACGTTGCCAACCCATTGGTGCTAAGGGATTATTTCGTGCCCATGCTGATGGGCACAATGTGACCACGATCGTCTCGTAGCTGTTCTCTTTCATCTCCTTCCTGTCATAAAATATTGCTCAGGTGCATCTTCATTGTAGGCGATTTATCCCCCAATGCCATGGCTGAGTGAATATGATAGTGTCCGCTAAGTTTAGGCTAGCAAGAATATATGAGGGGGCCGGCCAACTGGCTGGGGGAGGGCACCCGGGATGGCGCGCGCGCGCCGGCCGGGCGGACTGCGATCCTTTTTGTTGAACCAGCCCACAACAGCTGCGACGAAGCTGTGGGTCAGAAGTGGGCATGGGGGGGATGACTAAATCAATTTATTTGTTTGACGATCGTGGGCCGTGAAAGCGGCAGCTGAAAGCTCAAACCCGTTAGTAGCATGACGTATTCTGTTCGTGCCTACATGTCTCTGGGATCCTCTTCCCACCCACCCCGCGAGGCGGAACGATCGGGGTAAACCCGCTCGGGGGGGGGGAACCGTCGAGTTCGAAGCGACAATACATTGCCGATGAATCGGTGATGGGCCCCCGATAGCGAATCCGCACTGTCCTGGACGGGGCGGGCTCTATCGGCGATATTGCCCCTGACCACCCAGAGATGCGATGTCTTGATTTGTTCAAAGACGCGGTCCCTGGAAATCCCAACCTTTTCCCCAAGGCAGATGTTTCGTCCCTGGTCGTCTTTTGGCGATCCTGGGGCCCAGCGAGGGCCCCCGGAGGCCGAAACGACAGAAAAAGAACCTCCCATCGTTTTTTTAATATATATATATATATATATAGATATATAAATAAAAGCGCTAGCATGTCTCGGATCCCTCCTGAGCCTATCCTCCCTCAGCCCTGGGATCCGACGCCGCGAAACAAGAATCAGCATCGTGAATAATCACGACCGAAACCGTAAGAACCTATGTTTCCTGATTATCAGGGACCTTTGCCCCTGACCAGGGGCCTCCTCTCAGCGAGGTGCTGCCGCTTGAGGGCACCCCGAGGCTGAAGAACCGCCGCGAAACATCGAAAACGCCAAAAAACCTCGAACCCAGAACCCCGAGGGCCCAACCGATCCACGATCCCAGATCGGTGTTACACCCCATGAGCAGACCCCCTCTATGAGGAGAACAATCGTTGCGTTCGGAAGGAAGGGCTTGGGAGGATGAAGGGCATGAGCAATAGCATCCAGACGCAACGAATGATACCTTCGGCCGCCCACGAGTAATGATTTCCTGGTTTCTCCCAGCCCCATCCTCCCAACCCAAAACTTGTCTTCCTGACTCTAACGTTGCCCCTGACCAGGTGCCTCCTCTCTATATCGCTGAGCAGGCCCTCCAAGTCCGCGTCCACCGACCTGGCGCGCACGCCCAGGCGCACGCCAACGCGCCGATCCCGAGCTCGCTGGCGGCCGCGCCGCCCGCCAGTCGCCGACCGCCGATCCATCGCTGGCGGTCGCCGCAGCAGCCAGCGGGTGGCTGCCGATCGCCGACCCTGGCATCCTGGTCTCGAGTTTTTCGAGCCCGGCGTTTTCGCATCATGTCGGTTCCCCTGGGGCTCTCACAAATCGATCCGGTTCGAAAACTGGTTCAGAAAGATGGGGCCTGGGGCTCCAGTCGTGATTTTGCAGGATGTCCTCATCTTTTCGAAAGCGTCGGATCACAGGGGAACCCCCCCGGGCGCCCCATGAGATCTGGGCATTGGAGCTAGTTTTTTCTCTGATTCCGGCAAGGTGCTTGCGTGGAGGGGGGGCGAGGCCTGAAAAGGTCTCTGGACTTCACAGAGATCGGGACTCACTTGCACGCCTTTCCGGCCCAGCACTGTTTGAAATGGCGGCAAAACGGGGGGGGGGGAGGGGCAAATGGCATGCAAGCAAACTGGCCAGAATCTGAGCAAAGACGCACTCTTGCAATTGTTTCACACCGTGCGTTCTCGCCCAGTTTTAGGCCTCGGGGCCCTTGCATATCAATCTGGCTCGATACCAAAGAAAAATGGGGTTTACAATAGGCTCTGGCCGTGCTGATTCGCGGCATTCCAGCTTCGTCGGTCCGCCTCTTTCCGCCCCCTGCAGGGGGCCGGCCAAGGCCGCCGATCGCCAACGCCCCAGACCGAAAAAACGACGAACGGTTTTTGGTCGGTTTTGGCCCCTGGCGGCCCTCCCCGCGCCCAGGAACCGTCAAAAACGGGTCCTCGGGAAGGGGTCGGGACTTCTGGGGACCCCGTATTGAGAAACCAGAAACCTCGGATGTCTGGGTAGACACCCAACGCCTTGAAAACATGGGGACGAACTTTTTGCTCGCCCGGCGCCCTGCATGGGGCCGACGTCGGGCCCCAGGGCCGCTACAGAGCGACCATATGGGCGGAAAGCTGGCCCCTGGGCAGAGGGTCGGAACTTCTCGGAGCCCCGTGTTGGCAACAAAAATCCCGATACGCCGACGTCGCTATTTCTGTCACAACGATCACCTCTGGAGGTCTGGGCTCCTCCCCCAGGGCCGCTATTTTCATTTGAATATTTTTTTGACGGCCCTGGGGCCCGGCGATGGCCGAAAGCTGCTAAAAAGGCCTTCCGTAGCCTTCTTGTTCGAAACGCGAGCATTATGGTGTCAGTGTCCCTCTACAGTCTGTGGAACCGACGATTTCTGTGGGAGTGTCCAGAATAGTGGTTTGGGGAGCGCCCAGGGTGAGTGCTCAGGGGAGTGGTCTGATTCCCCCCCCCGACGCTTTAAAAGCACTCAATGATAGTGAAAACCACTGCCCCCCCAAAGAAAAACTGAAATGTGAATCAACGACGTCTGATTTACTGAGGCCCCACTCTCTGAATAAACACAGCCGATGCAAGAGATAAGGCGTGGTGGACATAGAGAGACAACGCGGGCAAGCATGCGACATGTCAACGCTCCTCTTTTGTCGATTGCTGATGTCCGGTGCTTGCGCTCTGGATCTCTGCGACTCCTGGCTGCCGCGAGCATGCCCGCGCGCCGCGCAGCATATATACATCGAGTCGGGAGCGCAGCCTGGGAGACAGGGGGCACGCTGCACGCGAGAAGTGAGAGATGAGGATGCGTGCGTTGTCACGTATTAATACTAGTAGCATGATGATGATAATTATTATTCGTTGTACTACTAATCTTCTTCGTCGTACTACTAGTAATAGTTCCGTATTAATGATAGTATGGTTTTTTGTTATCCAGAGCGAGTTTTACCCCTGCAAGTTTGTGCGCTGCGCGTGCAGTGGGCGGGGGGCTGGGGAGGGGGCTCGCGCTTGAGGTCAGCAGGGGCTCTCGGCGAGGCTGCGAGTCGAAGCTCGAACTGAAATCTGGAACTTCAGAGCCTGCTCGCACCTGTCAGTCAAAACTTTGGGGAGGCTTCCGAGTGAGACCCCCTCGATCTGTTTGAAAGCATCATTGTGCTTGGCAATCGCAGCCCGCGAAGAAACTTTATCATTGGGCTTCTTGAACGCATGCAAAAAAAGGCCAGGGTAAAAAACCTCCGTGCACTTGATGATGACCAGCTTGCAGTCATCCTTGAACTCGCCCCCGCAGTCGAGGCGTGAAGCCTTCTCCAACTCCGCGACGCGAGCAAGCGCCTCGCGGAGAGGGGGGCATCATTGAGAAGGCGGAGCAGCGCGGGGCAAGTCATCGGAGGGCCCCCAGTGGTTATCAGGTGGGCGAACAGTCACCATGATTTTTTTTTTTTTTTTGGGGGGGGGGGCATGCACCTCCACCGCCACTCCCCGCCCAAAACGAAACGGCACCTGCCCCATTTCCCGCCCGCCCCACGAGGGGGCCTATGACCACCTACAAGCGGTTCCGTGCCCTCTTCATGTGACCCACGGATTTTCGAGAACAGCCCGCATCCCCCCGCGGGTGCCGAATTGCACCCAAGAGAGCCATCGATGAACCCTTATAAAGACCCTAAAAGATCCCAGCGCAGCTTTCAAGACGACCCGAAATTGCCCGAAGAGTTCCAACGATAGCCTTAAGAGAGCCTCAGGCGGCCTCAGAGTGTCCCCGAGACTGCCCTACGACCACTCATACCCCAGCAGGCATCTTAAGCGGGTTGGCGGAATTGCGAGAGCTATGTTGGATGATGCGTTGGGGGGGGGGGGGGGGGGGGGGGTGTTGGGGGGGGGGTCTTTGGAGCGGCCTGCGCGGTGCCCTGAGCGTCGGACCTCCTCGAAGGGGGGGGGGGGGGGCTCCCATCTCCATCCCCGCTTTACCTCCTCCACGCTTCACTCCTTCCCCCACCCCCTCCCCTCAACTCATTCACCCCCCCTTGTTCCCTCCCTCTTCCCCCCCTCTCCCTGCTCTGACCGCGTCCTTATCATCGCCCCCCCTGCGCTCCTCTTCCTATTGCTCCTCATGATCGTATTCCTCCTCCTCCTCCTCCTCCTCCTCCTCCTCCTCCTCCTCGCACCTCCTCCCCCACCCCCCTCCTCCTCACCGCTCTCTCCTTCCGCCCCGTGGCCGTTCGGGTCATTCATGGTGGCGCCCCCGATTTGCATGCCGCTTCGTCGATGGGCGGGGGAGGGGGAGGGGGGGGGGCAAAGGAAGAGAAGGAGGAGGAGAGGGAGGATGAGGAGGAGAAGGCGGAGGAGGAGGAGCAGCAGCAGCAGGAGCTCTTCCTCCCTCAGTCATCGTTTCGTAGTCGTCCTCCTCCTCCTTCTCCCTCCTCCTCGCTCTCCCTCCTCCCCGTCTCCCTCCTCATTTTGCTCCTGCTGCCTGCTCCTCCCCTGCAAGCTGGGGCGGGGATTTGCGTTGAGTTAGCCCAGTGGCACCGTGGTGGCGCCGTCGATCCCCTTCTTGAGGCCAGCAGTCCATCTGTCCTGCATGATCGTCTTCTGCGCGTACTCGTAGAAGTCCGCCCACTTGTTGCGTTTGTTGTCCGCCAGGCCTTCCATCCAATGCCCGGCACCTTCGAGGCCGCCCTGCAAGGGGCGAAGACTCTCGATGACCTCCGCGGCAGCACTCTTCGCCTCCTCCAGCTTGGCACCACCCACGCTTCGCAAGCACTCGATGGCCTGGTGCCGAGTCGCCGTCAAGGCGGCCAGGAAGGATTCTGTATTCTTCGCGGTCTCGATCTCCTTGGAGTGGTTCGTGAGCTGCTCGGTCAGGAATTGCAGCGTGGCCGTTGACGTAGTGTCGACCTCTTGCCGCTCTTGCCCTTCAGCGTTGAGCATCGCGTTGATGGTCTGCGTCAGCTGATGGGCGGAGCGCCCAGCCACCATGGCGCGGGCTATCTTCTGCTCATCGGTTTCGTTGTCCATGCCCAGGCTCTGCACCACATCGTCGATCACGCGCCCGATGCGATCGACCTCTGGAGCTGGGTAGGACGCTAAGGCACCGTCACACATGAACCTCAATGAGCTCAGTATCTCATTCTGCATCTCATCAGGCAGCCCAGTCAATGAAATGACGCCTACGAGCATCTCGATCTTATCGAGCTTGGCGATGGCGTCGCTGCCGTTCTCGATGCCACCGAACCCCATCGGAAATTGCCTTTGCAGTGGTCGCGGACTGCATCTTGGCCATCAGCTCGACGAGCTCTGTCTTCCACTTCGGGATGCATGTTTCCATAGGGAAGCACGAGACACCAAGTTTCAATACTGACAGCGCCCCCTGAACTAGTTCCTGCCCGCGTTCGCTCTCGCCCTCGGCCTTGGCTATACCGACAACTTGGCAGATGATGCTCATGGTCTTGTCGCACAGCCGTTTGACGCACTGACCTGGGACAGCGAAGATGACCGCTGGGAGCATCTTGAGGATCTCCTCGACACCGGATGCAAGCTCGTTGGGGCTAAGCTGCATATTCGCGCCAATGTCGGCGTTGATGTCCACGTAATTGGGCCGAGCATCGTTGATCTTCGCAGCGTTGGTCATGGCGGTGGCGAGAAGGTCACGGTAGAAGTCTACGTTTGCTTCCACGAGGGCCACCGATTTGATCGCGCTGGACTTGTGCTCTGTGTCGCTGATCTCCTTGAGGTCGTTCATCGCATTCTCGCCAGCGTCGCCGTCGAGGAGCTTCTTCATGTCGAAGAGGGCGTCGATTGCGCTGGCAACCGTCGTGATCTCGCAAAGGAAGGCAGACGTGTCACCCAGGTCGTCGCATTGCTCCATTGTCGACTCAGCCAAGTCGTGCATGTGCATGCACGTGGCGCGCACGGAGTCCTTGCCGTTGCTGCCCTTGCCCATGAACTCACCCAGGACGCTCCTGATGAAGTGCGCCCTGAACTTCTCAAGCTTGAAGGGGAACTCCCCGCCGACGAGCATGGGGCGTGGCTCGAGCGGGTCGAACTCAGCGGTCCTGGGGTCGATCATGTCGCCGTCGATCTTGCAACGAATCGGCCATGGCCAGCAGTGCGCCAAGAACTTCGGCACGTCCACTGGGAATGTGACCTTCGTGCACCTGGACGTCGCATCATAATCCCAGATGTCTAGTTGGACGGCGGTCGGGATCTTCATGAATGATTTCACCCTGTCGTATGCTTTCTGCAGCTGGTCGGGTGGAAGGCGTTCTATTGGAAACGGCTTGAGTGATGCTGCAAGCACGTAGTCCTTCATATGCGCATGAAGCTTCTCCGCCATCTCCTTCGCATCGGGCTTGGCGCTCCAACTCTTGACGCGAAGGCCTGCGTGATGGAACACAACCCCATCCTTCCCCTTTCTCAGAGCAACCTCGAGGTTCAGCTTCTTGATGTACACGTCTGCCCGGTCACCTTGATCGGCGTCGCCGCCAACCTGGCTCGCGGACCCCCCCAGGTCATCTCCGACCACTGACTGTTCCTTCACGCACTTTTCGAGGTCAGCGGCAGACCGCCCCCCGACGACACTGCTCTTTCCTCTGATCCGACCTCCGCGCGGTAGAACCGCGCGCGACTTGTCGCCCAGCGTCGACCCCTCCTCTGAGAAGGAGACCTGGAGTGGAGGAGTGCTTCCAAAAGGGCTGGTGGCCGCCAGTGTCGTCGGGCTGGGCAAAAAGCCACCGCTGCCGCTAGACGCGGCGGCAGTGTGACTACCGCGGTAGGCGGCGGAATAATCGCTCAGCTCTGGGGCGCCCAGCTGCGCGCCCATCTCGACAATGGTGGAGCACTTCGAGTTCATCGCGTGTCCAAGCTCGTCGCCCGCGAGCCTCTTGTCTGTGTCCACCGACCACTTGTAGAAGTCCTTCCCCTGCCCGTTGTAGTAGCAGCATGCAGGGTCCAGCATGACCGCCTCCATCGCGGAGCCCACGGTGCTGCTTGTCTCCACCGTGCGCAGAGGGCTGTTCGGCTCCCAGGCGAAGAGGAACACCGTCTCCTTCACTCTCGGGTCCGCCTCGCACGGCACGTTGAGCTCGGGCAGCTTCGAAGTATCCTTCACCAAAGGCCTCTTCCCGAACGCGTTGGAATATTCAGTTTCATTCATTGCGAGCCACTTCCGATAGACGCGGATGTCCTGAGTATCGTTCTTGATCACAGTCGCCACAGTGATGGAGCCCCTCTCAGCGGAGGGTTTTGCCCGATTGCGCTTGGCAAAGTCCCACTTCTCCTGGATGCCGTCTTCGTCGTTCCTCAGCGCGGCAGGGAGTGACGCCGCTGGGATGTAGCTGAAGCAGTCGCAGTACACGCCAGCATCATCGCAGCACATGGGCACCCCCAGGCCGCCGTCGGAAAAGACAACGAAGTCCCTGTCTGCCGGCGGATTGACGCGGGCAAGGGGAGGTAGCACATACAAGAACAACCGATGATCAAGAGGACGGCACGGGCCCCAATGGATACAGGGCCCCACGAGAAACAATGCCAACAGGGCTTCAATTAACCCTCTCCTACTTCTCCATTTACCATCGCAATCCGTCTTCCAAGACGGCGGATGGCGAGGAGAGGTCGTTCTCCCCGCTCCTCCTCCTCCCTCCCCCGTCACCCTTCCTCCAGTATCCCCCATTCGTGTTTCCTTCCCTTTCAGTCCTGGTCGACGTGTGCGTGGCAGATGCAGCACTGGCTCCCGTCGTACTCCTGCTGCTCTCGCAGGGGGGGCAGCTCGGCAGACTTGCGTGCTATCCGTTTCGTCTTCCCCTTTGGCACAGAGGAGCTGACCTCGGATGCTGACCGCTTCCCGCCCATGATCTATCGAGGTACTCGGGCCCTCAAGGTCTCTGGTGTTGTCTTAGATCACTTGCCCCACAAAGACTGCGGTCGGCAAACATCAGAGCACGGCCACTCTTACACCCCCCGCGCCCCGCGCCAGGAGGAGCCAGGGGCCTCGTTCAAGTGCAGACTTTGTTCTGATGTCCCTTGACACGTTGCGGCCCCCTCGGGTGCCTCTTGACGTCCGCAGGGCGAAGGAAGGTTGGAGAGGCGGACGAATAACGATAAGGAGAAGCAGCAGCACGAGCAGCAACAGGAATACACCATGACACATCCCCACGCATTTGGTAGCGGACGGAGTTGCGACGCGTTCTTACGATGCACGTTTTTTTTTTTTTTTGGGGGGGGGGGGATTGCAGTGCTCGCTGCGTTGATGTGACCATTGTTCTGGCTGCAAACGCGTGTTCTACATGGGAAGTCTCTGTAATCTGGGCTCGGACGGGCTGTGCTACCCCAGTAGATTAGTCATATCGTTCGACCCCGCTGCCTGCGAAGTTCCGAGAGGGTCGAAGAGCTGGCGCCATCCCACCTGAGGCTGCGAGCAGCTCGGCCGCCATCCAGCCTCAGGTGGGAAGCGCTGCCAACCCTTCAACCACCTGGCCAAGCGCAGAAGCTCTCTCGGCCCGAAAGACGCGCGCCCTCGGGATCCTGGAGCTCCTTCACAGGGGCATGGCCCTCCACTGGCAGGGGCCTGCAGCCGCCCTCCGCGGTGGGGAACCTGGACTCCCTTCCTAAGCGCATTCGGTGCCATCCCAGGGCGCCAGGGCCCGAAAAGCACTCCAAAAGCACTCAAAAAGCATTCAATAAGCACTCCCAGGGCACTCCTGGCACCACCTCCCACGGCCAGAGCATTCAAAAAGCATTCAAAAAAAAACACTCCCAGGAGCACTCAGGGACCCCCCCCCCCAGGGCAGAGCACTCCAAAAGCACATCCAAAAGCACTCCAAAAGCACTCAAAAAGCACTCCCCAGAGCACTCCCCACCCCCCCAGGGCTCCTGGAAAGCACCCCCAGAGCACTCCCCCCCACCCCAGGGCTCCTGGAGAGCACTCCTGGGAGCACTGTCGGACTGCCCCCAGTTGGTGCAAGTGCCCCTATGGGCACTCTCGGAGTGCCCCTGATTTCCCGAACCACTCCTGGGACCACTCAAGCACCCCAAAAGCATTCAAAAAGCACCAGAAAAGCATTCAAAAAGCACCCCCAGGAATTCCCAGGGTGGGGGAGTGCCCCCAGGAGCACTCCTGGGCGGGCCTGGGGTCTGCCGAGTGATCCCTGGAGCTCTCGGGCTGTGAGCCCTGGTGGCTGCAGGTGCCCCCTGGAGCTCTCGGGCTGGGGGCCCTGCCAGCTGCCGGCTCCCCCCCCCCCCTCCCCCTCCCCCCATTTCCCGCGCGCCCCCTCCCCAGCCTCCCCAGTCCCCCCCCCCGCCTCCGCGCTCGACTCCCCCTTCCCCCGCCTCTGTCTCCTCCTCCCTGCCCGCTCGCCTCCTCAGCGCCGTTTGTTTTTCACGGAGTTCCTTCGGGCTCCGACTCTTCCCCGAGCCGAGGGCCCCGCTCCTTGCCCCTTAGGGCCTCAGCAGCAGCGCCGCCAAATTCGCAAAGCCTGCTGCGCGCAGCCTTGCGCGTCATCTTAGGAAAGCAGTGCTTCACAAACAACCTGTCTTTGTGGTCTGTTCCATCCCTGACGCACTGCGGGCCAGCCTCGAGCCAGGCTGCTAGCAAACCTAATGGGCGCCCCTGAGGTCTGGCGGCGCCCTCGTACGAGGCCCCCGAAAGCTTGCGCGGCTTGCCCGATGCTGATGTCGGGCACGCCCTACAAATTGCCTCAGAGCGGCGGTGCTTGTACCAAGCAATTTCACCGTCAGCAAACTTGCACACTACTTCTGCCCTGTCCGGACCCGCCCCTTCGATGAGCGAACGACGCTCAGAAACCTCGGATGGCGGTGCAGGCGGCGGAGGCATTGGAGGTGGCGGCAGAGGAGGCTCATCAGGGTCTGCAGGAGGCCCAGGCGGCGCAGGGGGAGGGCTGGGCTCACGCGGCCTGTCCCAGCCGTGGCCGCGGCCCCTGGAGGAGTCTCCACCGTCTCTCCCCAACTCGCCTCCGCGGTCGCCGTCGCCAACACCGCCGTCATCGGCGCCGAGGTCCACCCCCAGCTCGTCGATTGCAGACGCGGCGCCCACAGAGTCCACCTGAGCATTGCAGCAGCTCGGTTCTGCCTCCACCTCGTTTGCACTCCAGCTTAGCACTTCCAATCGTCGGCTGCGGCCTGCGGCCATCGCCGAATAATGGAGGTGGCGAGCCAACCGTGCAAACGATCAGGAACAGAACCGAGCCACTCCAATGCACCTCGCAATCGCTGCCACGCGGGTCGTCGGGGTCGCCGCCGTCGCCCGAGCCTGAGAGGCGGCCGTCGCTGTCGGAGTCCGACTCCGAGGAGGCGTCGCCGGACTCGCCGGACACATCCTCGACCTCGCTACCGTCGGGGTCGCCATCCTTCAGCGCGCGAGGCCCACCCCCTTGCCGCCGTCGGCTGCCGCGGCCGCACCAGGAAGCAGCACCTGCAGCAGCTGGAGGTTTGAATTCAACTACCGCGATGTCGGCTGGGCGAAAGCGCACGACCCGATCGCACTCCAAGATCTGGTACCAGTGGATCTCCCACTTGAGGTGTGGGTCCAGCTCGTGAAATGCAAACCAATCCAGCAATTTGGTGGTGGTTGCCTTGCGGTGGCACCGGCACAATGCAATGTTCGCATCCTCCTCCTCCTTTCTTGCTCCCCCCTGTCGCCTTCAAAATATTCCATCCTCCTTGGTCCTATCCCCATCCCCCCCTCCCTCCTGGAAGCTAAGTCAGAAGTGTTTTGGGCTGTTTTTTTTCAAAGGGGGGGGGGGGGGGGGGTCAGGTCCTGGGGCCCCTGGACCGTCTGAGCGAGGCTCTCGCGCAAACTTGGACGTTGCGAGGAAGGTCTGCGCGGGGAGGGGCAGGGGTAGGAGGCGGGAGGGGGGGGGGGGGGCGCGGAGATCGGGGGGGGGCCGTGGAGATCGGAAGGAGGGGGGGGGGGCGGAAAGAGGAGGATGAGGAGGGGGAGGTTGCGCCTACTGAACTAACATACCGTTGCGTGGTTCAAAAAATGGCTTAAGTATGAATGCTTTGAAGCACGGGGTTAGGGGGAGATGATGCAAATTTCGAGCGCACCCAGCCTCGAGGTTGATCTCCTCTAGGGCGCCGTCTCTGGTTTCCCCGACGGCCTGGCAGACGCGGAATCCAGACCAGTAGGGCTTGAACGAGTGGATGCTGATGTGCATCCATACGTCCTGCGCCTTCGCGTGCTCGTCGCCAGTGGCGATGTCCCACGGCGACGCGAGAGCTGCAGCGCCGATGTCAGGAACCAGCTTGACAACCAACTGTCTCTGAGTCAGCAGCTGCCGTCCAAGCGTGTTCTTCCTGGTGGCCTGCTTCAGCGCCGCGTAGAACCAAGCCCTCACTTGTGAAGTCTTCCGCCCCCTCTTGCCGCACATGCACAGGCCGACTTACCAGCATGGCGGTATCGTGGGAGGCTTCTTGGCCTCCTCGCAGATCGGCTTGCAATCGTTGTGCATGATGGGCTTGTGCAGCTCGCGCCACTGCTGGTACGGCGCCGATGCCAGTTTTCTCTGCTTCGCGGCTGCCGAAATGCTGATGGCTGTCTGGACGCTGCCTGCAGTTGGGTGGAGCATGCGGAAGTCCATAGCCAATGAGTTCGGCAAGGGATTCAGGACGCCAGGATGCTTCACTAAGGGCGGAAGGTCGTTGCACTCGAACATGTTATCGGTGACGCCATTATGCACCCACTCCGCGGTCCACGACTTTAACTGGCGCAGCTCATCCGTGCCCGACTGGTTGACCTTGGCATCCGCATCCCGTTTGATGCGCTTTGCTAAGGCCACGGCTTGCATTAGGTCGACCTGCCCACTCTCGCACACCTCCAACGCGTGTGCAACTGCAGCGTCGCACGATGCTGTCATACCGATAGGGCCTGCTGAAGAAAGAATGCCCAGAGCTGTCGACGCCATTCCAGTTTGGATTGCTTTGTTCTGGGCTCTGGTGAGGCCCCTGGTTTTGCATCCGAAGCTGCTTCCTCTGTGGCAAGGGTTGCGGGCTGAATGGGTCGCAGACTTGCCTATGTCCACATGCTTGGCGAACTCGTCGGGGTCCAGGGCACGGCACCGCTGAGACAAGCCCGACATGTCTTGGAGGCCGTGCTTGCCTAAACTCTCTTGGCGAACCCAAGCTCGCCAAGGCCCCCCTGCTCCCGACGAAGTTGGCTTGCTCACGCCGCGGCTCAGTCGATCTGCCCCCGCACCTCCAGCGACATGCGGCTGTTGAACTAAGAACGGTCGGCCAAACCTTCGGACGCGATCCATCGCGTACTCAGCGGACAACTCTTGCAGACCTTCGGCGTTCGTCTGCGCCCCTTTAGTGAATACTCTCCTTCGGATTGCTGCGTGCGTCGCTTCAACGGGTGATATGTTCAGCTTCAGTAGGCGAGCATGTAGGAGGAGGTATGCCAGTGCTTCATCACAATCGATTCCACCATCAGGGGCACCCTGGTAGGTGGCAAGGAAATGCTCGGTGAACGGGTCGAACATGCAAGGCGGAATGTCGCGGAGGTCGAAGTCTTTCGCCTCGTCAAGCAACAGGGGCAGCTTGTGCGGGAACCTCTGGTGCATGCTAGTGAGGGACTCGTACACCCAGAAATCCGCACTGGAGATCAGGCGGCACGCAGGGGAACGCATTCGCATCGTCTGCGTGGGAATGGTGATCAAGTCTTGCCACATTGACGCGTGGAATAATAAGTAGCCGATGTCGGTATGAAACGTCGCCTCGGCATTGCCGCTGGCGGCGTGCACGATAGGGAAGGTTCTGCTGACGCGTCGGTCTCTGCTGGTCGTTCTCTTGAGCGCCTTGGCCTCCTGCTCGAGATCCCAGTCGTCGCCGGCCAGCTTCAGCTGATGTTGCAGGAGCCAGGCAAGGGGCTCCGACACCTGGCGAATGATCAGCGACGGCACCAAGGGGTCCTTCTCGAGAAACGCCCTGGCTTTTCTCCTCAGTTCAGCTTGTTCTTGTCGCCGATTCTCCAAGGGATCGCAAGCTTCGTCGCCCCCTGCCTCTGGAGCTGGGCGGCGCCTGTCGTCGAGCCCTCGGGGGGGCCCATCGGCGCCAGTAGATGAATCCAAAAGCATCTTAGTGGCCTTGCGGCCAGCGGTACCCCGAAATGGAACCCCCTTGCAACCAGCGTGCGTCGGCAGTCCACCCCTAAGAGGACGCCCCGCCTCGAGCGCGAACGTGGCCCACGACGCGGCGGCCAGCCCGTGGCACCCTTCCAGCAAGCAGAAATCATTGAAAGCGTCATCGGCGCCAGTCCAGCGATGCCTTGGGTAGATAGTAAATCTAGCGTTGACCATGCATCGCCGAATAGCTTCTGCCACTGATTCCTTGAGGCTCTCCGCATCATAAGCAACGCCAGTCGGCAAGTAGACCTCAATATGCGCCTTGTTCCTCCAGTCGCCGTTCGGGAGAGAGCACAAGGCCATCCGCTTGAAAATCCAGTTCGTGCCTCGACTGAGGCATAGCCTCAACAAGTGCCGACGATATGCATATGCAGAAAGAGGCGGGGACCCCGTCTTGAAGATGATCATATTTTTGGCTGTCTGCTTGACGTGGTTCGCATACCTCAGAAATGATGTGCCGTCATTCAGCGACCTCGCCCATGCAATCTGTCCTGAAATCAAGTCCTCGACGATCGAGTAGGTTTTTTTTTGTGACTGCCTGCGGCCCTGTGTATTTCGCACGGCTGCAAAAACGATATCCAACCAGCTCCAAGCTCGTTCGCCTCACGGACAACTGCTCTCTCTGTCCTCGGGTTGCTGCCAGCGCCGTCCAACGTCGACATGCGAGTTTTATGTTGGAACTTATCTGAAAAACTTGCCCTGCCAGTTCGCTGCCGATGTGCTTGCATCAATACCTCTGCAGTCGTCCTGTCCAAGTTCTGTAACCACGTCATGGATCTCCCTACAAAGGTGAATAATTGTCCAGTGGGTGCCTGGACCAGCATGCCGTACTCGTCGCGCGACTGCAAGATCTTGGCCACTGTCTTTTGTTTGTTCCTGACATTCGCCATGTGCGGTAACTTCACTTGAGTGCTCAGGTCAGTCGATAGAGTTCGAGGCGTTGGATCAGCAGGAGTCGTGGCTGGTTTGTCCTCCATCCCTAGTTTCAGCGGGGTCTCATCATTCATTGTGTAGTCGACGTACAAGATCAGCCTGCACCCAGAATTTGCGAGGCTCGATTCTAGCTGGTACCTCTGCGACCGATCTCTGTGGATGATCATCGACGCCAGCTGGCACAACTTCGGCTCGATCTTGCGACGGTCGACGTGTGGGGAGTCGGCAATGCATAGCTTGGTGCCAGTCTTGAACTTGCTAGCGCCACCACCACAAGCTAGAAAATGTCGGGCTAGTGCGTTCATCTCTTCGTCTGTCTTTGCGTGGACGCGTTGCAGTGCGTCCTCAGCTTCTCGCACGAGAGGTTGGAGCGGCCACTGATCATCATGCCAATCAGTCGTACGCCTAACAGCGCGTACGATGGGACGGCTGGCTCTAGGAATGGGGTTCGTCTTGGCTCTGGGCAGGTCTGGTAATGCTACTACCTGGCTGCCCTCTGGTTGTTCTGCCCTGCGTCGCTGTTCAGCTTTTTGTCGCTTGATCTCACGAGCCCGCTGCAGCTGTTGTGCCCGAGTTGTGATTGGCGGTGGTGGTGGCGCGCCGAGCTCAACAAGAGCCTGCTTCAATACCGAGCACATCCGTTGTCGTTTTCTGGGCTGGCCTTCGTGATCGTGTGGGTGTTGCGGCTGTTGCTGGCTGCTGTCGCCTCCCTGTACGGCATCAGGGGTCGCTGGTGCATCTGCGTGTCTACTAAAGTCATGGTGCGGGCTCTCGCCAAAGTGGCGATCCCACGCCCCGTCGTGGTCACCGCTGGTAGTTCCAGCTTCCATCTCTGCAACTGCATCGTCCCAAGGATCGTCCATGATGGTGTCGGTGCGAGATGAAGCTGGAGTGAAACATATTTGAGCCAAAATGGCTACGGAAGGATGGCCCAGGGCGGAGGAGGAGGAGGCTGTTAGCTCTTTTGGGGCCTTTGGGCAACGCTGATTGCGAATTAAACCTGTGACCATCTGGACTGGTAATCGGACAAAGCCATGTGGGGGATTACTGCAAATGTACCTCGGGGCGACTTTGGGGCCTTCTCTCGCGCCGAAGGTGACGAGACGGGAACTCAAAAAGGAAGATCATGGACAGACGAGGGATGTTGTAGGGACGATGCTGGCGAAGCGTGGGCATTGTGAGGGGGCGGTGGAGTTGGTGAAAAAGGGGTGGAGGAGGACATCGAAAGGGGGGACGTGGGGGTTCGGGGATGAGGGTTCCCTGGGGCAGAAAGACAAGACAAAAAGATAATTCAGGAGAACGACGCCGAGGATATTGCCCACGCAACAATTCGATTGCGGAAAAGGTCGGGTGTGGCACACAGGCCCGTTGCAAGCACTGGCTTGGGAATTCTACGTCGGTTGTCGTGGGGCATCATATGGCAACACTAGTGTGTATCATGGGTCGGCAGGCCAGCTTTATCTCGACCGTAGCCCCTTCCGAGTGCGAAGCAACCACTGGCGATTTTCAAAAACCACTCCAACTTCAGTTTTTTTGGCCGCATCAAAAAACCAGAAAAGCACTCGAAAAGCACTCCCTGGAGCACTCGGGCGCGCGTCGCACAGAATTTCTCAGTGAGAGGGCTGTCCAAGGCAGCCGCACCATAACGCGAGCATGTCTGGGGGGTCCCGTGTTGAAACATATTCAGGGCATCGGATCGCTGCGGCGGTTGCCGCCGGTCCGTCGCCAGCCGCCACTGCCGGCCGATCCGATCGCCTCCAGCGATCCGTCGCCGCGGCCCGGCGGCCGCCCACGATCGGCGGCAAGCTGTGGGGCCGGCAACGCGCGGTCCATCAGCGCGCTGCTGGGGACCTCGAGGCGATGATGTTGAAGCTGATAATGATGTTGACGACGACGATGACGACGACAATGACAACGACGATGACGATGGTGATGATGGCGGTGATCGTGATGGTGGTAATGGCGAAAGTGATGCGGTGTGTGGGTGGTGATGGTGGTGGTGGTGATGATGATGACGATGATAATGATGATGATGATAACGATGCTTATGATAATGTTGAAGGTGGTGATGACGCGGATGATGGTGATGATGCTGTTGATGGTGATGATGACATTGATGATGGTGGGTATGCTGGTGATGGTGAACTGATATGATCGTGGTGGTGGTGGTGATTGAGAAGATGCTGATGATAGCGGGAGTAATGATGATGCTGCTGATGATGATGATGGCGACGACGACGGTGATGATGACGATGATGTGATAACGATGACGACGACGATGATGAGTGTAAAGATTACAATGGTGACGATGGTAATAACGCCGGCGATGACGATGGCGATGGTAATGAACACGATGCTGTTGATGCCGATGGCAATGGCAATGCCGATTGCGATGATGATGATGATGACGATAATGATGCTGATGATGATGACGATGATGAGGATGATGATGATGACGGAGTTGATGATGATGATGATGGTGGTGGTGATGATGATGTTTATGATGATGATGCTGATGATGATGATGACGACACTGACTAAGGCAACGCCGACAACGAGGATGATGATGACGATGAACATGATAGTGATGATGATTATGATTGTGATGGTTATGGCGATGATGGTACTGATGATGGTACTGATGTTGATGATGCTGATGATGATAATGATTCTGATGAAACTAATAATAATATAATAGACATGATGATGATGACATTGCCGATGGTGATGGCGACATTAGTGATGGTGGTTATGCTGATGGTAATATGATGGGATGGTAGTGTTGATTGAGAAGCCCATGATGATTGTATTGGGAATTATGATGATGCTGTTGATGGTGATGATGATGGCGGTGATGATGACGCTGGCGAGAACGATGATAATGATGACGCCGACGATGCTGACTTTGACGATGACTCTAGGCGACGATGGTGATGGTGCTGGCGATGGCGATGGGATGACGATGCTGAGGATGACGATGGCAGTGGCGATGGCGCTTACAATAATGGTAATAATGACGATGATGATGAGGATGATGATGATGATGATTAGGGTGATGATGATGATGATGATGGTGGTGACGAGGATGATGATTTTTCTGATGACAATGGTGCTGATGATGATTATGACAATGACGACGACAAAGACGACAACCACCAGGATGTTGATGATGACGACGATGATGATGATAATGATCATGAGGAGGAGGACGCTGATGATGATGATGAAGGTGCTGATCATGTCAGTGATGGTGAACATTGTGGTGGTGGCGATGTTGATGACGATGCTGATAATTGTGATGAGGATGACGATGATGACGATACTGATGCTGATGCTGATGATGATTATGATGGTGATGATGGTGGTGATGATGCTGATGGTGGTGATGATGATGCTGATGCTGCTGTTGACGATGATGATGATAATGCTGATGATGATGATGATGGTGATATTGATGCTGATGGTGGTGATGATGATGCTGATGCTGTTGCTGCTGCGGGTGATTTGATGGTGCTGATGATGATTCTGCTGCTGATGATGCGGACGATGATTTGATGGCGATGATGATTTGATGAGGATGATGCCGATTTTTCCCAACCCTCCTTGGTTGGGTATTCGTTTTGAATAGAACAGTGTGGTCTCCACTCCTTCCTCCTCCTCCCTCCCTCCCTGCCTCCTCCTGTCTTGCCTGCGGGGGGCTGCGATCTGTGAAACTGTCGCCATGTTCGAGGCCTGCTGGGGGGCCCAGCACACTGAGGGCGACGCGCGGATTCAAATTAGACCTCGCCATCCCTGGGGGGCTGCGATCTGTGAAACTGTCGCCATTTTCGAGGCCTGCTGGGGAGCCCAGCGCAGTGAGGGCGACGCGCGGATTCAAATTAGACCTCGTCATCCCTGGGGGGCTGCGATCTGTGAAACTGTCGCCATGTTCGAGGCCTGCTGGGGGGCCCAGCACACTGAGGGCGACGCGCTGATTCAAAGTAGACCTCGCCATCCCTGGGGGGCTGCGATCTGTGAAACTGTCGCCATGTTCGAGGCCTGCTGGGGGGCCCAGCACAGTGAGGGCGACGCGCGGATTCAAATTAGACCTCGCCATCCCTGGGGGGCTGCGATCTGTGAAACTGTAGCCATTTTCGAAGCCTGCTGGGGGACCCAGCACAATGAGGGCGACGCGCGGATTCAAATTAGACCTCGCCATCCCTGGGGGGCTGCGATCCGTGAAACTGTCGCCATTTTCGAGGCCTGCTGGGGGGCCCAGCACAGTGACGCCACGTGCGGATTCAAACTAGACCTCGCCATCCCTGGGGGGGCTGCGATCTGTGAAACTGTCGCCACTTTCGAGGCCTGCTGGGGGGCCCAGCACAGTGAGGGCGACGCGCTGATTCAAAGTAGACCTCGCCATCCCTGGGGGGCTGCGATCTGTGAAACAGTCGCCACTTCCGAGGCCTGCTGGGGGGCCCAGCACAGTGACGCCACGGGCGGATCCAAATTAGACCTCGCCATCCCTGGGGGTGCTGCGATCTGTGAAACTGTCGCAACTTTCGAGGCCTGCTGGGGGGCCCAGCACAGTGACGCCACGTGCGGATTCAAATTAGACCTCGCCATCCCTGGGGGGGCTGCGATCTGTGAAACTGTCGCCACTTTCGGGGCCTGCTGGGGGGCCCAGCACAATGACGCCACGGGCGGATTCAAATAAGACCTCGCCATCCCTGGGGTGCTGCGATCTGTGAAACTGTCGCAGCTTTCGAGGCCTGCTGGGGGGGGGCCCAGCACAGTGACGCCACGGGCGGATTCAAATCCCACCAGCCCTTTGGGCGTGAGTGGTTTAGGGAGCCCTCTCTGTCATCAACCCCCCTTCTTCCCCTTCGGGGAGGGGTTTACCCCTCCCCCTCCCCTTCCCCCTGGGCCTGGAGAGGGAGCCCCGCGGGTCGTCAGGGGGGTCCTTTTTGACTCCTGGGAGGGCTAGAAAACGACGACCCTCACGAGGATTCTGGCCCCGACGGGGGGATAGAGATGGGCTCCTCTCCTCATCTGTGAGGCCAAAATCATTGATTTTACTATGGTTTCGGCACCATTTTGGCCTTCTGAGGGGGCAGCGCTCCTCTTCCTTGATATCAAAATCATTGATTTTACAAAAGGTTTTGGCCTCAACGAGGAGCCCGAGCGACTCACACCACGACGAGGGCCCCGAACGACTCACACCACGAGGAGCCCGAACGAGTCACACCAGGAGGAGGGGCCCGAACGACTCACACCAGGACGAGGGGCCCGAACAACTCACACCACGAGAAGCCCGAACGACTCACACCAGGACGAAGAGCCCGAACGACTCACATCACGAAGAGCCCGAACGACTCACACCAGGAAGAAGGGACCGAACGACTCACACCAGGACGAGAAACCACAAACGACTCAAACCACGAGGCGCGCTTTCTCTCCCTCCTCCTCCGCCTCGTCCTTCTCCCGCTCCCCCCACAAGGAGGATGTACAAGGAGGCGGGAGGAAGGAGTAACAGGGGAGGTATGCGGGGGCAGGCGGAAACACGCCTGAAAAACACGACTGTCGAAATGATTCGCAAGAGTTGCTGTTGAGAGATGGGCTGGTGGGGATACGCGAAGCGTAAAGAATTAGACCTCGCCATCCCTGGGGGGGCTGCGATCTGTAAAACTGTCGCCACTTTCGAGGCCTGCTGGGGGGCCCAGCACAGTGACGCCACGCGCGGACCCAAATTAGACCTCGCCATCCCTGGGGGGCTGCGATCTGTGAAACTGTCGCCACTTTCGAGGCCTGCTGGGGGGCCCAGCACAGTGACGCCACGGGTGGATTCAATTTAGACCTCGCCATCCCTGGGGGGCTGCGATCCGTGAAACTGTCGCCACTTTCGAGGCCTAGTGACGTCACGGGCGGATTCAAATTAGACCTCGCCATCCCTGGGGGGCTGCGATCTGTGAAACTGCCGCCAATTTCGAGGCCTGCTGGGGGGCCCAGCCCAATGACGCCACGGGCGGACCCAAATTAGACCTCGCCATCCCTGGGGGGCTGCGATCCGTGAAACTGTCGCCACTTGCGAGGCCTGCTGGGGGGCCCAGCACAGTGACGCCACGGGCGGACCCAAATTAGACCTCGCCATTCCTGGGGGGCTGCGATCCGTCAAACTGTCGCCAGTTGCGAGGCCTGCTGGGGGGCCCAGCACAGTGACGCCACGCGCGGACCCAAATTAGACCTCGCCATCCCTGGGGGGCTGCGATCTGAGATCCCTGCTTTCGAAGTGGCTAGGGTTGCTCAAGGGTTGTAACTAATCAGCTTTATCTAGTCCTTGTCCTGTAGCCAGTGTCCTGCGAGTCTCCCGAATTCCGTCTGCAGACATATGTAACCCTCGCTCCGTCATCGCCCCCCTTATAAAGTGTTCTAAACTATTTGCGCCCCGCGTTTGCGCAGGGGTTGGGTACGTCGCCAGGGTAATTTAAAGAGAAGGGAGGCGGAGGCGAATGGAGAGGGCCCAACCACCAAATGCCGATCCCGAAACCACTCTGAGCATCGTGGCAGAACAACAGGCGATACGAAGTACCAATTAAAACGCATCGCTGCTGTAAAGGGGGGAACCAGAAGAGGCGGAACAGGAGGAAAAGAAGCAAGCAGACCAGCCAAACCGGGAACGTCGCAAGAGCCAACCTGCGATAGGAGATAGGCGAACTCAGGCAACGGATCTTGGTCTTGGAGACAATCTGGGGCTGACTGTGTGCAGATATCCCCCGAGGCCAGGACGGCCAATGATATTTCACACGAGTGCTGCAATCGAAGGCGCCATTCGCGCAGAAATAAAAAACTAATAGAGGAAGGAAGGCGAAAGA